TTCCATTTAAATGATTCTTAAAAGAACTGTAATTTTTTACCTTGCTTGCAATAAAATCTAATTTCATTGAAATTTCACTAACAAATCTGTGTTTTTTGTTATTAAAGCTGCTTGATGCAAGATGGTGATGGCCGCAGTTGTAGGTTTGGCTGCCGGAAAAAGGTTTCCAAGAAGCTCTTTTTATTCCTCAGATTTTGCAGAAAAAAACATTTTTTCTGATCATAAAACTGTTCGGCCATCAACAACTTCAAATATAGCCATTATATTTGCTCAAAAGTCATCAAATTTTTGCACGGAAGCTTCAGCACACAGACAATCAAAACCCATCAAAGCTCTTATGACACATGTCGATACTTACGCCCCCTCCGCCGCTCATAACTCGTTCGACATCTCCGGCGGCGGTGCCGTCGAGGATCACGGCGGTGACATCGAATCTTCCCTCGAAGCCCTAATCTTGTTGCAGAAATCCATGTTGGAGAAGCAATGGGAGCTCTCATTCCGACATGTGAGGAGTGCTGCAACTAGTACTGAGAGGAAGGCGGGGGTTGCTCCATCTGGGATCTCGGCGGAGCAACGGAGAGCGGAGAGGAGGAGGAGGAAGTTTACCCATCAGAATGCTTCTGAAGAACTTATGAACAAAGGGGAGAAGCTTTCTTCTATTGTTAGTGCTGAGTTTCAGCAGAATGGTTTAAGAGGTTATGTGAGGGGTAATCCAAGTGAAGCTCTGCTCAGACATTCAGAGGTAGTTCATTTATCCAAAAAGATTAAAGCTGGTCTTTTGTTGGAGGAGCAGAAAGTAAAGTAAGCATCTTTTCTTATTTAGAGGAGACTGGTTTTGATTCATAGTTATCTTGGCAAATCTGGTGTTTTAGTTCGTTTGGTATAAGCTTAATGACTAAGATAGGCCATCAAGCTTATTTAGTAATTTTTTTTGGAAGCTTTTCATGCATGAATGCTGCCCAATTCTTATTTATTTACATATCTATCACTAAACTTCAATTTTTAAATACATGACATGTACCCATATTTGAAAATGAGCATTT